TACTAAACAAGTCAAATATGCTTTAACAGTTATTTCATTTTTCTCTGGGATTATTTGGTAAAGGCTATCAATCACCCATAACAGTTCATTAWTTCTTTGACATTTGATGGGAATGACGGATATTTGTACTCTTTGCTCGATGATGTAAGACTGATTTTCAAATTAAAATTAATTGGAATTTGTGTRTTATTTGAAGTAACTTTTGTTGTTTCAACTTAAACTGGAAAAACTTCCTGGCGGTATTGTGGTTGGTGTGCCACAGTGAAGAGTTGCTAGTTTTTTGCTTCTGCTTTCTATTTGTGCCATTCACAGATTAATGACCTAGAAAAGTTACATTCCAAGAGGAGGTTCTGCTGTCCCATACCATCTTATCCATCAGTTCTAAGCAAAGGTATGAATATTGTTTCATGAATAACATTGATAAAGCATTCCTGCCTACCAAAACCTCTCCTGTATTACACTAACCTACTGATGGTGTTGCAAGATTGGTTTGGTTAAATTTGGGTGTACATTTTCATATATTTAGCTCACTATTGTAAGATGAAATTGTCATATAAGTGACTGTCAAACAGCATCTATTCACACAGTTAAAGTAAGTTTTTACTAAGTCTCATCTGGTGAATCTACTGACTAATATGAGACTTTTCATTACCTTTATTCATGTTTGCCCCTTGTAGCCAACACAGCCAATGAAGCAAATTAACTGCACTTTATTGTAACTGGGTTTTTTTGTTTGTTTGTTTTAGACCTTAATAACCCCCAGCCTGTTAACAAGACACTGAAGCCTTTATTTTCAGTAATATTGATCAGAAACTCATGACACATTTAACTTCCAAGTTATTGTTGATTTTGCAGTGGTGGCAATTCAGAAAAAGCACATGGAGTGCATATAGGTTGACTGTTTTTATATGTTTTATGTTTTCATAGGTCAAGTGTTAATTTACCAGTTTGCTTACTGTGAAATATTTTAGGGATTGTAGAGTGTTTTGAAGGGCCAAAATAAAATCATAAATCATGTTACTTGTGATGACTTTGTCCCTTTAGTAATATGGCATTTTATGTTTAGTGAACAGAGCAAAAAGGAGAAATGTCRTTGTCCAGAAACCGGGCTACTCTGTTACTCTACTGCAGGAAAAAATGAAGTCACTGCAGAAGCAGACAGCTGTTTTACAGAGTGAAAAAAAGAGAGCAGTGGCTTCCATGAAGAGGGTTAAAGAAACCAATGAAAAATTAACAAATCAGCTACATTTGGCTGATCAGAGACTTCAAGCTAATAAAGTGACCATAGAGGTAAAGTACTTTCCATTATTGTTTTACAATATTCACCTAAATTCTATTGCCATTCTGTGAAGTTTTGATAGCATTGATTCTTTTATTTTAGTTYATTATATTCAAAATTATGAAGTGTTTTATATTACCATGCTTTATGTGAGCCAGTTATTATGTACAAATTATTTTGAGGCTGGTGTATCAACCCAATGAATTTATCCTTCTGAAAATAAATTAGTCTTCATACCAGTATTTTATATGTATTCAAATGTGTGAGATATGTATCACTTTTAGCTTGTGCAAACCTTCCTGAGAATCTGATCAGTCCAGAATCCATTCCTCTGTGAAGAGCAGTCACTATCACCTTACACCCCAAGACAGCTGGAGATTTCATCCAAAGGGGACTCAGACCACTTCCATATCTATTTAATCCTATCTTTCTCCGTTAAAAAGTGGAAAGCCAAAGAAAAATTTTATGTAAATAGAGATTAGTAAAGTCTCTATTTGGTTAGCAGCCTAAGGACACCAACTTTCTTCTCTGCCTCAGTCTTCATTCCTACTTAATCCTTTTCCATGCTATTACTCCTTTCTGGTTTTCCCCATTCTCATGTATATATGTATTTTGTGTTAATCTATATGCAACTCCTCAGCTGGAATTCTTTTCTGTTCATACTGTAGTGATTGGCCTGCCCTTTATAGAGCTGAATCAACAAACACTTATGCAGTAATTGTCTCCYGTTGGTCACACACACATCCTGCTTCCAGAATTATAGTGCTACAACAGATGGACCTGCTGGAAGGAGGCAGACATTAAAAAAGAAATCAAATCCCCTCCCCCTCAAACTTCTCTGTGTTTTTCTCTTTGCACAGAAGGCAGAAGCAGTATCAGGAGCAGCACTTTTCACTTTCTTAGGGCTAGGGAACTGCTAATTTCTAGAGAAGGGAAAACTTCATCTCTGTTACTCATTTTGCATAACTATATATGTGTAATGAATTTTTCARAAAGCATTTCCAAGGTCATTGGAACCAATGAAGATCTGCCTATCTTGCATATAGTATCATAAAACAAAGTTTCATGGACAGTATAAACTTCACAGGAAACTCTCTGTGTAATTTAGCTAAAATGTTCTGACTTCTTAGACATCTTCATGATTTGCCATCCTAGATGACTACACCTTAGGTGTTCATAGAAGAGCAGTGTGAGAAATAAAATAGAAAATGTCATTATCAGGGAACTGCAAAAAAAGGTGGGGACAAAATTTATGTGGAGATGAGAGCTGCTGTAATGGAAAAAACTGACTAAAATAAAAATAGCATGGCTTTAAAACCAAACTCATTTTCTATCACTCCGTTTTTCTGGAAGGTTTTTTAAAAAATGGTCACTGGTCTATTTAAAGGGTGGTGCATTCTAAGCAAAAATAAATATATGGTGTTGCAGGTACTCAAGGAAAAAATCTTTATTAGGCATGCACATTTTTTTCCTTCTCAGCAAACAATTCAAATTCCCTTTCTTACAACTAATTACTCTTCAGGTGCCATAGCAGTGCTACCAAGTGGGAAATTTAAAGCAGAGGCTTGGGCTACTTGCCAAGTGAAAATTAAGGAGGTAAAGAATCTACACAGTCACTGCAGGGTACACTCATGTTTTAGAGAACCCTGATTCAGACAGATCAAATGGTTATAAAGCACATATTTGCATGTGGGACYTGTATGGGTTTTTTGGTAAGAATTACTATCTAGAAGTAAAGTTTTAAGATACTATAAGGGAAATAGTGTTTGTTAATGTTATTTGTTAATGATTTTGTTCCTTTAGATTTTAGAATTTCCTTGAGAGGTAGAAGTTGTGTGYCTTCTACCAAACATGGTACAAACCATGAAAAAATGAAAGATTGATACAATCTCTGGATTTGGGGAAAATCTTAAATACTTCAAGAGTATTATTAGCCAAAATTACTAATATCCAAAAATAAGCTTCCATAAAGTTCTGTGTAAAGTTATATTAATCTTATATTGATAGTGAACTTTTGATCCTAGGCTAAGGTAAGTGTAGCAGTGTAACAACTGTAAACATTAACATCATGGCTGGGACAGGATGCCATTTTGCCTGAATTTATCTAAGAAAATAAATCCTTTAGCAGACAAGGACAGATGTTTGTGCAGTCAGTCCTTTGTTATAGTCCCCAGGGAATCTAGAAGATCGACTCTAGATTTAAGATTTAAATGTTCCAGATGTTCATTTTGAGACAGATTTTACAGTTCATGCAACCTAAGGACTGTCTGGCATCTGTTGATTTTCAGAATATATATACATGAATGGTTTTGTGTATTTTGCTTGAAGATCCTCACAGACTTGTATGTAGGTGTGTATTTGTGTGCTCTTAAGAGAATTCTGTATTCAGAATTCTGTATTGAAGTTCTGTTTTTGTTTGGCCTTATAATTGCTTTGCAGTAATGTAGATATCTGGCTTTGTTCCGTTTCTGCAAAAGCAATTCCTTGCATATTTTTAAAAAATGGCTGTGAAGYGACTGCACATGTGAGAATCAAAACTTGCATTCTCTAAGGATTCACATTAACACTGAGTCAAGACCATCTGTACAGAAGTACAGTACTTACATATTGTTATTTGTGTATAGAAATCACAGCTGGAATAGATCCTTTTTGTGGAAGCAAGGGTGTTTAGTATTTTCTTAGTTTCTGAGAAAAGCATTTGAAAGAAATTGTTGGAAAAATCCAGGATATGTTTTCTTAGGTTTAGTCCCCTCCTCTACTCATTTCTATCATTGAGTGCTTAAAAGAAGAGTGTATTTATGGCTTACAACACAATAATTATAGTTGGTTTTATGTAGTGTCTTTCTTGCTGCAAAAATCCAAAGTATATTGAATAAGAAATTAAAATCATTAGTAAGYTAAGTCATTAGTGCTTCTCTTATTTGTGTCAAGGCTATTCAAAGGTCCACTGCTCAAAGGTACCATAGTTTTCCATTTCAAATTCTTCAGTGTTTCTCAGGTAATAGCACAGGAAAGCTGCATTTCTTTATGGAATGCTGTGACCAATGCTGTATAAGTCTACTTCAGCAGGAAACTTGAATCTCAGAATAAGTGCAAGTCAGCCAGTCAAATGCTGGCACATTCTTTGAAGAGGATAATGTGAAGGTTTTAATAAAGTTTTTTTCAGATGCATTCCTGCAGATTGTATCACTGCACTTTTGCTAAATTTGGAAGGAGCTTTAATTTTTTTTAAGAAGCGTATTTTAACTGTGGCCTAGACTACACTTTTTTTGCTGATAGCATTTTAAATATACCTCCAAACTTTATTTTAGCTATTTGATTTTCACTTTTCTTTGAATTTGAAGGGAACTTTTTCCCCCTGAGGTCACAGTTTGTTTATCTAGTAGATTATCTCAAGCATAGAAAGGTATCAACATGAAAAGCAGAAAAGTAAAGTGCTGAAGARAGCTTTTTATTCTTTAAAGGTTGTGGCTTTCTTTACATATTCTCTTGACTGTTTTTTATTGCTCAGTATGAAAGGACAGGCCAGAATTCAGTGTTGCATCTGCAAAATCAGCATCACAGCTTTACTTCTCTTATAGTACCCAAGTATAAGTAAATCAGAAAATTTAGCMTTATTCCATTACACTGAAACAAAGAAAAAACTGATGATAGATTTAGATGCAGTGGAAAGTATTGACTGAACTGTTACTTATGCAAAGGTCTCCGTTAGACGCTGGTGTTTTCCACTCTTGAAAGATGTATTGATATTAATGTAACTCTTTTTGTATGTTTGTGGTTTCCTTAAAGTAAATTTTCAGAATAAATTTGAAATGATAAACTGAATGCTCTTTGTAATTATCCTGCAGTAGCTAAAACTGCTTTTGAAATTTCCTTGCATTTTGTACATTTCATCATATTTGTAATTACTTGGACAGGTTTTGTGGGCTTTCTAGATGAATATTTTCCAGTTAAAAATACTTGTAGACCCATGCAGATGTTTCCTACTAAAAGACTTTTTTACATGTTTGAAATCTCTTACATGGATGTAGTCCAGACTACTTGTGCATTTTTATTAAGTTCATAAAAATGATTCTACATTTATTGTCTCTTTTTCCAAATTAAGTGTGGGGTTTTCTTCTTCCTTTAGTAGCATGAAAAAAGATTTCTCATTATGTACATTAGATAATGCTAATGATACCTACAGAAGATCTGAATGATGAAATTTCATGGAAAGTTTTAGAATGATTGCTATTTGGAAGACTTTAAGCATAAATAGTAATTTTTACAAATAAACTTTGCAAGAAGTTACTGCTACATCAATAGAGTATGCAGGAGTTCTGACTTTTATATATAAAAATAGTAAAAAAWAGTAAAAACAGAGATGCTGTAATGATCTCATAGTTTAACAGGTAAAAAATAAGAATACAAATTGCTTCTGTTCTGTTTAACAGTGTGCCTTTCCATTCTTACAGGGCAAAGTATAGTCTGGAACCTCTTACTTGTATCTATCTTRGGAATAAAAACCTTGTATACACCATATTTAACACTTTTGCCAAACTTGATGCAAGGTTATTTCTGCAGCTGTCCACCTTTGGCACAGATTGTAATGGAACAATCAGAGAATTCTGTGAAGCTCTTTAGGAAAAGTCTGTTCCCAAAAACATGAGAAGAATCATGGTTTCTCTCCCATTTCCTTCTATAGAATTATATAGATAATCTTTACCTAACTACATTYAGTAAGAGTAGTTTAGGTTGATCTACGGGAACTGTAATCTTTGGGCACAATACTTAAAAAGAAACAAAGAATGTTTCTCAAAAATATTTTAAAATCAAATCAACAATTTTTCTATTCTACTTAAAATGCGACAGAAGTGGAAAGGTAAACCATAAGGGATAAAACTGTGATAAACCCGGATATACTGCCTGACCTTTCCAGAGTTTGCAAATGCAGTCTGAGACAGAAGAGGTTTAGCTAATAATTGAACTGAACTATGTGCCAGCATGAGACTGATGTTTTTTCAAAATTTGA